ATACTGTTGACCCTAGACTGGAAGAGGTTACGTTTCAAGTGTTTGAAGAAACATTCTCTCATCTTCCGTTAAGTAGCCGCTCTTGGGAGAAGTAGGAGAATAGAAATTCCTTCTTACCAATAGAATATGAGGGAAATTAGAATAGTTCTCTTCCTGTATGTATAGAATGGCGATTCTTCTATATAAATATCTGAAATGGAGGAACCAGATCGTCCAAATAGTTTCCAAATAAATTGCGATATAATAGTAAGAGGCTTGAAAGGGTTTGCAAGATGGAAAACAATTCATCTCTTACAAGACATCTTTGTGCTAGTACGATCAGTAACAGTTTCTGAACAGTTTTGGCTACCAAATTTCACACACAATACTTAGGACACTAAGTGGTTCGGTTATTAAAAACTTCTCAACAGTGCCTCATTCTGGGATTACCTCACAAGGCCGATATTACCAAGAATCCCCATTCTAAACAAATCAAGATTTGGCTCCAAACATCATAGTCGGAACGTTAGCAGTCTTGCCACTCACCCATTAGAAATGTTTAGTATAACGTCTAAATGTAACGTTTAACATTGCTAAGACAAACATTTGACTATAGGAAATGATGAGAGAAACTTAGCGTGGCATAGTTACAAAAGAAATAAATGAACAAATCGCTCTCTATATGTAGAAATCCCATGGTAGTTGTCGTATTATCAGTACTGGCTGCTATCATGATCAAAATGAAAATGACATAAGAATTTGGCAAAATATAGGAACAGGTATTTAAAGTTTTGCACAATTATCAATCATATGTAAATTTAAATTTATTTTTGTTAAGGTTGGATATACTTACGCAATATAAGATCTAGATAAAAAAAATTGTATAATGTTCATAAAAAGACAAATCACAATAATTCAAAGAACGACACAACGACACAATGAAGTAAGACACATAAATGATACAATCATAATAATTCAAGGAATGACACAAAAAGTCATTATAGAAAAGAAACATAAGAAGACACAATTACAATAATTGAAGGAACGGCAAAAAAAAGACACAATAAAAGCCACATAAAATCACACAATCACAATAATTCAAGGAACGAAACAAAAAGATATAAAAAAAGTCGTATAAAAAATACAATCGCAATAATTCAAGGTACGGCACAAAAAAGACACAATAAGAATATGACATAAAAAAACACAATCACAATAATTCAAGGAAGGACAAAAAAGATACAATAAAAAGACACATATCACAATTAGACATTATCACAAAAAGACACTATCACAATAATTCAAGGAATACATAAAACGACATTATAAAAATGACACATAAAAAGACACAATCAATATAAATCAAGGAACGTCAGAAAAAGACACAATAAAAAAATGACGCATAAAAAGACACAATCCCAATAATTCAAGGAACGAAAAAAAAAACAATAAAAAAGAAACATAAAATGACACAATTACAATAATTGAAGGAACAACAAAAAACACAATAAAAAGTCACATAAAATCATACACTGACAATAATTCAAGGAACGATACAATAAAAAGACACATAAAAGGACACAATTTCATTAATTCAAGGAACAATACAAAAAGACATTATAAAAATGATACATAAAAATACACAATTACAATAATTCAAGGAATGACACAAAAAGAACTATAAAAACACATAAAAAGACACAGTCACAATAATTCAAGGAACGACAAAAAAGACAATAAAAAAGACACATAAAAAGACACAATCACAATGATTCAAGGAACGTATAAAAATCAATTTCTTTCAATTGTTTCGTTTTTGTGTTTTTTTTTCCAGTTCTGCCGGATTTGAGTAATATGTAACGGCAGTTAATTATTTGAAATAACTGTTTGTGGTACAAAATAGAAAATTGAGCTGGAAGCCATGAAAAGCAGACGTCCGTTTAGTATTTAATATTTTGACTCGAACAAAATATACTTTCAGCTACAAATCGTTTTAAAAAGTAAGAATATTTCTAAGTTAACGATATAAAATGTAAGTTTCCAAAAATCATCATCATCATATCGTTTCAGAGGAAGTCTTACAGTCACGTCACGTTGAATAGCCGGTTACCGTTCGATCACCGAAATTTAGCACCCACATGTCAGTACGTAGATGGGTGACAATTTGGAAATACTTGTTAAATACCAGGTACTGTAAGCTTGGATGTGCGGTTGGTGTAATGAATAATGGCTCAGAATTGTTAATTGGAGAGCCGAGTTCAAATTCCAGTTGGATTCTTTTTATTCACTTACGCCCAAATACAGATGGGAAAGGTATAAGTCCACACCTTTTTCCTTCCTTCTATGAGTTAATAAATAAGACTCGTTTCCTAAAATCATTATTATCCAAAAATAAGTAAAATTACGTATTTAGATTTCAACATTAAATAGACCATAGAGGTTGATATGCCGCTAAACTCAAACAAACAAACAAAATAAGGAAAATCGCGATTGGTTATACTCATGAAGATTGTCTTCGCCTGCTACAGTGTGACTCTTGTGGAACACTCAGTGATGATCGAACGCCAGAAACAATGAAATTAGCCTTCATGATCAGTTTACTGATCCACATGCTACGGGGGTTCGAATAGACAAAGTCTATACCTGGATACGGTCAAGCTATTTATTTAAAAAAAAAATGTATCCTCATGTCGAATTAATAGTTGTAATGTATACGTGTTAAGTATCGAAACTTGATAAAATATTAATATCTGCACTCTTAACGAATTGTCATCATTCGGTGTTCTCAAGGCGTCAATCGATAAAAATAAATCCTGCGCAGTATATAATTATATGAACTCACATACACCTATGCATGGAAACAGAGAGACAGAAACACATACACGCTTTTGTGTGTGTGTGCGTGTACACACACACACACACACACACACACATACATATATATATATTATATATATGTATATATATATATATATATATATATATATATATATATATATATATATGTTTTGTGTGTGTATGTGCGTATATATATATATATGCGTGTATATATATATATATATGCGTTTGTGTGTGCGTGTATATATAAATATATATATATATATGTGTGTGTTTGTGTGTGTGTGTGTGTGTGTGTGTGTGTGTGTGTGTGTGTGTGTGTGTGTGTGTGTAAAAGGAAAGCAGACGGCGATTTTCTGCAGCTGTAAAGCAATCAAAGAGGGAAAACGAACACTCGTCAGATGGTTGTTTTTGTCTCGACTGTCTCAGTCCGGTCCATCGCAACTTGGCGGGCCTGGCAGATGGATGGCGTCATTTTGACAAGAGATTTCGTTTGTTCTTCTGATGAATGAAGAAAACTTTCTTTCGCCATTCCTCCTTACAGTATTCCTGAAATACATCTGCGGAGAAGAATTATATACATACATACATACATACATATATATATATATATATATATATATATATATATATATATATATATATATTGGCAAGAGAAATTTCTAGTATCGAAACCGAAAGCTTCATTTTCTTTTTGGAGAAACAGACTTCGTATCCAGAAAAAGCGGAGAAAATGAAACATTAAAAATGTGTAAAAAAAAAAAAATAATAAAGGAAAAGGAATAAACATCGATTATTGAATAAGAAAACGAACAGTTGACGAAATTAGAATTACCAGACGAAGGATGCCTTTTTTCTATAAGGAAATTTCTTATAAGCTGTGTGCCTTGCCATTAGGCTACGAGAAGTCATAAGAGAAAAGTAAGATTAAATTACCCTATTTCATATATGGGCAACTAACACATCGAAAGAAAAAGATAGCTGAAAATGACTTCAAAATTTTAAAACAATGTATGCGCATTTCTTAAATACGATAATTGAACCTCACTTCATTTTTGTTCTTTTAGAAAGAATTGCATTTATTACTTTCATTATGTAATTTGCTTTTCTAATTAATCTTTCAAGCACCCATTTTTATTATTCCTTGTTTTTCTTACTTGATTATTCTTAGGATCATTTATGAGCCATGCGTGATAAACGCTTAGACGATCACTTACCTTTCGATACATGACTGTCGCGGCATTCAAAGCAAGAGAACCGGGTATGACCTGTTATTTACCCATAGCTGGAGATGGAGAAGAAGAGAATTCATACCTCTCCCAAGGGTATTAGTACGTAAGTGAATATCTGTCAGTTATGTGACATGCGTGATAAACGCTTAGACGATTATGCATCTTTCGATACATGACTGACACGGCAATTTTTTCCCGCAGCAGGTTGCTATTTCTTTCTGCGGTAGGCGAGATGCCACCCAAATCTATAGAACCCGGTCTGACCTGCTGTTTATCCATAGCTGGTGGGAGAAGAAGAGGATTCATAACTTTCCCAAGAGTATTTTCGCGTAAGTGAATATCAGTTAGTTATGTGTCATGCGTGATACACGCTTAGGCGATCATGTATCTTTCGATACATGAATGACGAAGCAGATTATTTTTTCCCGCAATAGGTTGCTATTTCTTTCTGCGGTAGACCAGATGCCTTTCAAAGCTACAGAACCCGGTCTGACCTGTTATTTATCCAAAGCTGGTAGAGGATTCATACCTTTCCCAAGCGTATTAGCACATAAGTGACTGAAATTTGAACTCGGCTCTCCGATTCCTCAATTCGAACCGCTATCCGCGTCCTAATATTTTTGTTTCAGCTATGTAGCTGATCGAAAAATATTCTTCTGTTATTTTTGCTGTATTTCCCAATTTTGACGAAAATATCTGACGTTATTCCCTCCGAAATTTCCTTAATTTCTATTTCCTTCATTTGTTTTCGTCTTACTTCCTTTCTTGACTTAACTTTTGTTTTCATTCTTTTATTTTTTTTTTCTATTTCCGTTTCGTCATTTCTTGAATTCTTTCTATTCGTTCGCGCCTTCTGTCCCATATTTATCACCTTGTTTTTTTTTTTTGTGTTTTTTTTCTCTTTTTCCCTTAGAATTCTTTTCTTGTTTCATCCATTTTCACTCTTAGCTGATGCTCTTCCGTTGTTATTCTTCATCTTTTTCCTTTTCACTCTCCATCCCACATTTTTTTTTCTTTCAATCCCTGGGGCCCACTACTAATGTGCCACTCCCAACGAAATGCCGCCTTCTCTCATATCTTCACAGTTTTTATTCACACACGTTTCACACTTTTCCATCCTGACTCAATCTGCTGCCGAGCAAACAACACCACAATTCATTTATTCCGCAGACATTCCTTCCACTTTTACTTTACGTCCCCTGATTTTCATGTTCGGCTTCGATTTGTTCTCTGGAGCTCACCCTCACCTCCCTCCCATATATATATATATATATATATATATATATATATGCGTGTGTGTGTGAATGTGAAAGTGAAAGTTAAGTATCTTCTAGTCTAGGTCTATGATTATCCTATTATCTTATACGCCCAGTCGCTCACATATACGTGCACAAGCCTCTACAGGTACGCGTATGTGTATATATTTATACGTCTGTCATTAGCCCGTTAGTAGGGCTATAAATAATAATCTTCGCATCCTCGTTCCTTTCATATTTAACTTATTATGATTCGTAATTCTGGCTTTTCTCTCTTCTTCTTCTTCTTTCATTGCAATGACATATACAGTCAACGACGAAATTATTTGTACGCCCATCATTTTTTCACTTTTTTTTTTAATTAATTTCCCAGAATCTAATGCCCGTATGATGCCAGGTATTTTTTTTCTACTTTTAGTTCTAATAATAATAATTCTGTCTTTTCAAATTTTGCATAATTCTCCTGTCATATTTAACCTATTGTTCTAAAAAATATGTTTTATATTCCTATTTTGTGCTTATTATCATATACGTGCATTAGATTCTAAGAAATAGATAAGAAATATTTAAAATTTATGGTTTTACGAATTATTTCGTCGTTGATTATATACTTACCACCTTTTATGTACTTTAATTCGGGTTTCTTTTCGTATAGATGTGTTCAATGAACGACAAAAACGTGTGAACCACACAAATCTATATATAATTATTCAAACGAATTAAATATATCCTTAATGATTGTTGTATCATACCTAGAGACAATAATAGTTTTGTCCCCATTCATATAAATACAGTAGTAAATACTGTATGTTGGTCTGCAGTTGGAAATTCCTCTCCAGCTGTGCTGGTCAAACTCTCTGCCTCCAGACAGAGTGGATACCCAGACAAGGCTATATCGAAGGGCAGAGTCTCGTCTCGGGAAAAAAGCTACCCGATCTTGTTTCATACGGGGTCTACGGGGAATTTTTTTGGTAACCCCACATTAAATTCGATCTTGTGCCTCATCTGACTGCGTGAGACCGCTGGTAAATATACTGCAGTTGGAAATTCGTCTTCAGCTATGCTGGTCAAACTCTCCGCCTCCGGGCAGAGAGGATCCCAAGACGAAGCTATGTCGTAGGGCAGAGTCACGTCTCGGGTAACAGCTACCCAACCCCGATTTATATGGGGTCTACGGGGAATTTTTGCCAAGCCTACGGGATCGGATACCCCACATTAAATTCGGCTTTGTGCTACATCTGACTGCGTGGGGCGGTTGGTAAATATTCTACAGTTATATATTAATTGTGAAATTCATTTGACTCACTTCTAGAAGTTGACTACTACTTCTACGCGCCTCTGGTATTTGTTGTTCTTGTTACCGGCCATTACCAACCTTCGTGTGATTATTCTATTCAGTAACATTCCCTAGGTTACAACATTTATTTTATAATTTGACATCATTTCTATATCAGTTTTTATCATAATTTTATTCTTTAAATAGTGAAATTAATTTCCAACTGCCTAGAGATCGATCCAACGTTCTACGAAAGAAGATTCACTGCCGATTGGAATCGGACCTTGATGACATTTTTTTCAATCAAGTAATTTCTTATAAGCTATGCGTCTCTGGCCATTAGACTACGAGAAGCCGTTCAACAAGGTTAAATTACTCTATTTCTGACATGGATAGGAAGATAAATAAGCTGAAAATATTGTAGTAGGATTAGGTAATAATAACACCAAAGGAAACTATACACTTTCCTCTTTACTAAGTGAGTGACAAAGAAAACTCTCTCTTCCGCCCTTCTATATATTTCCTTTCCTTCCTTCTATCGTTTCTATCCTCAGTAACGGACATGATCCCGGACTTAGTTTATGTGGGTCAGTGAACGTCATAAAAAAAATCAACCAATGACAACACGTCCCGCCAAAAGACTAACGGGATACACGGATGTGTCAGCCCCAATAAAAAGAAGAAAACCACGTGCGAGACCAGAGACGTCACAGTGGAGAAGAACTTGATTGGAGGTAGCACTTCGAGACGCGAGGGTTGGTGATTTATCGGCTGTGAGTTTGACCTGACGTACAACTCCAGAAGAGAAAAAAGAAGAAAAGATGAATTCAACGAATTGATTCCCGTCAACCAGAAGGAACTCAAACAAAATCCTGCATGAACTTTCAAATCACAAAAAGAACTATGACGATAGTCAAACATTTTAAACACTGTAACCAAATGGGCTCGACATTAAATGGTACTACAGCATGTAAATTGGTCCTGTACTTCATCTCTATATACCATATCTTCGAAAGGTTATTTCTTAAAAACAATAATTGAACCTCACTTTATTGTGACAGTTTGTATAGCCTAATGGCAAGAAACTGTTAGCTTATATGTTGTTTCCCTAAACAGCGTAAAAAAAGAAACTAAATACTGTTTGGTTCTTAGCCGAAATATTTTGTGTTTATATTATTTACATTATTCGGACTATTGTCCTCATCTTTGTCGCCATATTTATCACAACGTTTTGGCCGTTGTACGTTCCCGCCTTCTTCAGGTGTTTGAAATTTCGAACTGTGATAAATATGGCGACAAAGATGAGGACAATAGTCCAAATAATGTAAATAATGCACATAATACCTCATCTCAGAAATATAGACATATTTTGTCTTATACGACACCCGCTGGCATAAATTTGACTGTTGAAAAAATGGTTAACTATTCTAAACGTGAACTCATTAAATATTACGTTTAAGAGGAAATAATAACGGACTGGCAAATCCATTCATTGCATAAAAATGTACACACACACACATATAGACACACACAAACACACCTATACATCTGTTTGTGTGCGTGTATATATATATAGAGAGAGAGAGAGATAGATAGATAGATAGATAGATAGATAGATAGATAGATATTATAATAAAATCATTTTTAAATCGCTACATGAAAACTTTCATGTTTCAATACTTTCATTGTTCTTCTTCAGGCGAAGGTAAGTAACTTTTGATGAAATGATTTTTATGGAAGTTTCAAAACAAATTGTCACCTCTCCCTCAGCACTATTAATTTTCGGAAAGGAAATGTAATAAAAATATTAGAAAATTTGTGTGTGTGTGTGCGTGCGTTCGTATGTGTGTGCAATTTGGACAAACTATATATCAGTAAAAAAATTTAATTTCTGCAAACACCTGAACCCAAACAATTTTCAAATTGCTTAGGAAAATATGCGCGTAAATACAGGAATATTTTACTACTCATGCAGATATAATTTGCAGACACCAAAAATCTCTCAATTACTAAAAAAAATATTTTCAAATGCATTCAGATAATCACATGCGCACATTTAAATAGGAATATTTGAATACGAACCCGTATCTCAGATTGATAGTCTGAAAATTAAGATTGTCATTACTGCTCCCCCCTCTTTATCATACTTTCGTTTCCAGCCTCATTAAGGCTAAATTTACTGTTAACGCATCAATAATTATGATTAACTTATTAATGATAATTAATATCACAGTTATTGTCACTATCAGCATAATCACAATCGTCAACAAAGCACAAGCAGTCAGCGTTGAAAATACAAACATCATCATCCCCATGCCCACAAACAGAACCCAAAGACCCAGACCAATGGGAGTGTATGTGCGCATCTACACGTGTTTACGTGTGAGAGAGGAAGTATACGTTTATTTGACAGTGCAGGCGATAGATCTGAGAAACGTCAAGAACACCCCTACCCGCCTCTTGTGGAAATGAACATCGCCACATGTAAGAATCCATGGTCCCGTCATGCGTATGTGTATCAGAGCCTAGCCTCGGATTGTTTATATGGGTGCATTTGCGCGAACTAAAATGCGTACACCTGTATGTGTGTTTGTCTATGTGCGTGAGAGTGTTATCCCGAACAGACACGGGGGAAAATCCCCGCCCCCGCCACCAAACATAATCAAATAGATCCAATTTAAAAAAAAAAATAAAACAGTTTCTCTGATGATCGCAAAAGTGTGAAACCTAGGATCACAAACTCATAACCATACAAATGAATATATATATATATATATATATATATATATATATATATATATATATATATATATATATATATATAAATCTATCACTCCAAAAAGCAAACAAAGTTAAAAATGTCGAAAATTAGAGCTTATTTTAGATGATGAAATAGTGTTGGTATGTATCTTATTTACTTTAATTACATACTTAAATCACGTATTTAAATGCGTGGATTATGTAAATTAGTAGCATTAACTATTTATGATTTATAATACAGTGTAACCCGGATGTAAGAGAGTTGTCGGGACCAGAGAAGAAGTCTCTTATATCCGGGTTTCTCTTATATCCGAGTTTGGTCTATTTTATATACATTAACACAGGCTCTAATTTGGGAGCAGAGAAAATCTCTCTTGTATCCGGGTTTCTCTTATATCCGGGTCTCTTAGATCCGGGTTACACTGTAATAATAATAATAATAAATAATAATAATAATAACAAGATTAATAATATAAAGTATATCGGTGTAAACCACTCATATATTTTATATAATTATTATTATAACCATTATTATAAATGTTTATTTCTTCAATCGCATCTTTGGTAATTATTAAACATTTATGCAACGTCATATAATGTTAGTATTATTTCAAATGATATAAAATAATAGAAAAATTGGATTAAAAATAAATCCATTAATTATTAATTGTTAATATGTTATTCTTTTCTCACACATCGATCTTTCTTGATTCTCATCCAAAATATCTATTTACGCAATCATTTAAACATTTCGAGGAAAAAGAATTTTATTAACTACCCAAAAACTTTTGC